AGAAACTCGCTCACAGCCATGCTGCTCTTGGGTGTATTTCCTTTGTAAGGCAGTGTGTGAAGTTGCATCTACATCAACAGCCAAACCCCACTCTAGGTTAGTTTGTGATTTGGACTTTCCTCCTGCCAGCTGCTCTTTTTAACTTCAGGTACCCAAAAATCACTTCACTGCCCTGCACACCCAGAGCACGTGGCCTCTGTGGGAACACACAGCATGCAAACAGGGAGGAAAAGGTAAAACCTGGGTCTTCTCAAGGGGCACCATCACACTGGTGTTCACAAACCTGCCCTGCATCTGGCTGAATGTTCCACACTGCCAGGCTGAGCAAGGAAACCCCTTTGAAACACCACCTGAACTCTGCCCTGCCCACAAGTGTCCTGAATACCAGATACCAGGGATACAGGGAAGGACTGGATTTTGAGCACAAGGCACTTTTTACCACTGTTCTGCTCTACGCCCATTGTCAAGGCAATTCTAAGAGAGCAGACGTACATCAAAGCATTTGAGAGCCAAAGAGAAGCAGGTCAGATCTTTTGAATGCACTGTCCTGCTCCAGTACATGCCTGATCCACATGGATAACCAGAGTATGAATTCATGAATGCCATAACATACACAGACACCAAATCATGAGCATGACCAAAGAGTCCCTAAATGAAAACTGCTGCCGCTCTGGGCTTGGGGGCTGGGAAAAATTGGCAGGCTGAAGCTTTCCAAGGGAGGGGACAGGGAACAATCGGCTGAGTGTTCATTATGAACACTCGGAAAAACGTCGTCCGTGCACTCTAAAGGCTCGTTTTCAGCTGAGCCATAAGCTGAAAGCTTGGTTTTTAAATGCACTTATATTTTAGTTTGGGGCAAACTCCTGCAACAAAAACGTGTTGGCTGCGACATAAGACTTGGCAGAGCCATAAGGAGCTGAACAGGGGGCTCCTAATGCAAAGTGTTCAGCAAGCCCAGCAACGTGCAAAGAGTGCAACAGGAGAGCAGAGTGAAATTGGGGAGTGCAGGCAGAAAGGCAGAGACAAGAAAAGCCAGAGAGCATAAACATGTGAGAGCACAAAGCCCTCCAAACTGGCAGGGCACTCACCTCACAGAGGAACATGCACAAGTTAAATATTGGAGTTTGATCCTCACTGCAAATCCACATGCATGACCATGTCAATGAAGGGTGTATCCAAACTGCAACCCAAAAGCAGTCTCCAATTACACCTTATCCTTCCTTAGCTTACCCAGGGTGGGTGTAAGACAAGTTTCATACCAAATTGTAATGTTCATTATGCATCAGGCTGAACAGGCAAAACAGTTCACATGGGAAACTGTCCCCAGAGGTTTCACCACTATCAGCTTTCAACCTGGAACACACGAGTCACTCACACACCTACCTGCAGATCTGCAAACTTGTGCTTGAAGAACCCCACTGCATCCTCCAAGGGATTAGGAAAGCAAACATATTTTGGGATCCCTAAAGCCTTCTTTATGCAAGGCAGTGAGTTCAGATAATGGTTTAGCCAAACAGGCATAGGCTGACTCAGTCTGAATAAACCCCATAGGAGGTACAGTGAAATCAAATCAGAACAATTCAAGCTCAAATTACCTAGCCCAAAGTAAAAGCACTTCAGCCAAGGAAAAGATAGTTGCAATCTCTAAATTAAATTCTGAACTGATTTTGTCACACAGTTTCATGCACAAGATGTACCAGTCTGCTTCTTCTAAAACACCTTAACATCAGCTTTTCCATAAAATGCAAGACTACAGCAGCAGCTTTTTACCTCCTCCTGCTCCCCGAGCTCAGAGGAGCATCCAAGATTCACCCAGAGCCTTTTGATTGGCCTCTGTGGTCTCTTATGTTGCACCTCCAGTTACCCAATTAGTACCTTGTTAACGAACACCTGCCATGTATTTATTCCTCCTGTTGCAGTACTTTTAACCCATAATGAACAGTGGTACCAACATGCTTCTCAAAAGCTTTGTGCACAGGCTTCAACAAGAAAAATTTTCAAGGCTGTTAAACACTGGCAGTTTTTGCTTCTCTGCCCTCCGAGTCTTGATTCTTTTCAAAACAAGAGGGGATGGAAGGAGAAAAAGGGAGATATTTGTTTCTGAGATGAGTTTTGTGAGGACTGACCACACACAGTGCCTGGTGTGACTGCACCCAACAGTATTTAAGAGGAATCAGGGGCTGCTGGGAACACTAACCTAGAGCACCAATTTTCTGACCTTTGCTGTAGGTACTAACTGCAAACTTCTGATTTTTACCTCACCATTCAGCGCCTGTTTCACCACCAAAACCACAGTTCCCCGCTGCAAGGGAGCTTTTTGTTAGTATTTGCACTTGGGATTTCCAAGTGGAGAAGGCTGCTGAAGGGGTATGAATATCAAACTGGCATTGCATTCTGGCCCTCCATCTCTGGGCACGTCCCTAGGCACGCTGTACATGCACATGAAAGGCTGATTTGAGCTCCACACGCCTCCAGGCAGCCAAATTTGGCCATTCTGACTATTTTGTCAGCCATCAGCCACCATGGGCTCCAAGAGACCTCACACAGCAGCAGACTCACAGCAGCTGCTATCTCTAGAGTGGATGTTAAACATTATAAAAAGGGAATTTATTCAATAACAGCCATGTTTGGGATAAAGACATAAAAGTGCCCAAATAGGAGATCGCTTAAAAACGTGTAGTAAATATCTGGGATTATGTGATTCCAGTCATCCCAGTGGCAGGGAGAAGGGTGTTGAACACAAGGGGATAAATGCTCTTATTGCAACAAGAGAGTCATCGTTTCCAATGATCTTCTTCACTGTAGTGGCAGGATTTCCTCGATTGAGTAAGTGCTATTCAGTAAGTTAAGGATGACAGGACTAGGGCAGAGGTTTGAAACAATAATTGCAGTTTGTTCTTCTGTAGTACCTTTCATCTGTGGAATTCACAACAATGCAATAATCCTCCTAACAGCTTTTGCAGGTAAGGAAATATTATGACTCCTGTTTTTCAGCTGAGGAAGCTGAGAGGGAATATGATGATGCAGAGAATCATGGGCAGAGTCAGAACTGGGACTCAGCTCTTCTGACTCATTCTTTGTAATTCTGAGAGCCTGGACACACCAGTTGGTGAGGCCACCCTGGTTACTTACTCCTGGGAATGTGACAGTGCCTGTAAGAACCTTTGTCTCTTTGGTGTTCACTCTTCATCTGGAAAAGGGTGAGCAGAGCCCCCAAACTGGGAACCCAGGAGCCAGGATGTCTACAATCCCCCAAAGGCACAGCACTGTGCTATTTGAAGGGAAGACAGGAAAGAATTGAGTGATCCAAGACCCAAAGGATCTTGTAAGTGTTCATCTGCAAAGAGCAGTTTTGATTATGATCTGAACAGTGGCCTGGAGACAGCCAATATCCAATGAAGGGTCCAGAGTGGATTTAAATAATGTTCTTCCAGACTGGAAGTTCTCAAACCAGAGAAACAGAGGCGAATGGCTTCCACTGCAAAGGACAGGAAGGGCATGAAGAGCCCACAGAATATTCTGTCTGACCTTGGTGAGTCTTATCAGGATGTAGCTTTACTTGGAGGAGCTGGAGATTGGGCTACTGTGGGCTAAGGTGTGTATGTATGGAAAGAAGCAGAGCAAAGGCCTAAACTATTGTGGGAGAGAAGAAAGGGACATGACCACAGAGTTTGGGAATGGAAGAGAAAATGCCCAGCCAACAGGGCTACGTATCTTTGGCCACAGTAAATATGTTTCTTTGGAAATTACCTGCATCTAAATGGTTTTGTTAGACATGGAGTGGGATGAATGAACCCAGCACCTGCTGGTAGCACAGTGGTTTGCACAGGTAAGCAAGCCTGTGAATAGTGGGTGCTACTGAGCTGGCAGTTTAAACCAACAGACACTAGAACATGCCAGATTTCAGCTGGCCAAAGCCCTAAAGGATTCCTGTGTGTTTCCTTACTTTTCCTCCTGCCTTCTTACAAAGACTGGAGAGAACAGTGCAAAGATGCTCTAAACAAATGGTGGCTCTTTCAAACATCTTGATTTGTAGATTACAATGAATAATAAATATACTCAGATTTCACTAGAGCTGTTTCAGGGGTGTGAGGCCATTGTATAGGACTGTCCATTCACTGTGGTTGCAGCCATTTGCACCAGCCAAGAACGGAGCTCCTGATTCACACAAGTGCTGAGAACCTGCTGCTCCAGTTGAAGTGGCTGGGAGAGGCAGGCTGTCATCACGTCTGGCAGTGAGACCGTGTGTGACTCAGTCTGGGGCTCTCAAATCAGCAGCCTTTATGCATTAACTTGGCTGTGACTTCCACTGGGGGGGAATTTGCACTGAATGATATAGCACAGCACATTGCAGGAACTCCAGTCCTCTGGAAGTCCTTCCTGCTCTTCAAAATCATGGGCTGTTTCTTAACAGGTCTTTACTAACGGGGAGTTTGATACATGCAGTGTTCAATGATATTACATTGAAAGCAGTTCTTCAACTTCCATAGGCCCCTCATGCCCCGACTAAGTGTGTCTACACATCCCTCCCAGGCCAGAATGAATCCAATCCCACCTGCTCTCCACTGGGGTAAGATTTCCTAGTTTTAAATGAACAAATGTTGGCAGTGATGCAAGCAAAGCTCGTAGTGTAGTGGGGGAGGTAGAAATATCATCCTGGAAAAGGTTCAGTGTTTGTTTTTAAATCCCAGAAGAAACATATGAATGTGATGTATCTGGGATTTAGAAAAAAAAAACACGTAGCAGCATGTTAGGAACCACCCAGAAACAGCTCTGTGTCAGGGATCAGCTGCTCTTTAGAAGCCTAAAAGATGCAGCAGGTCTCTCATGACTTCTTCCTCCCTGTTTCTTGAGCAGACTGTAACACACAGCAAGTCTGTTCTGCGCTTCCTCTGTCTGCTGAGAGGCCCAAGCAAACAAAACTCTGAGCTGAGATTACCAATTGTGCCAAAACATAAACATGGACACACAGCCTGTGAGCTTAGTGCCTTATTACTCACCCCTACAAACGTAAGCACGAGCTGGTTTGCAGCAGGCAGGTCTAAAGAGCAGGTCCAGCGTGTACTGAATTTACTGGGAGCTTTTCCACAAACAATAATGTCCTTTGGATCAAATCTGCAGGACTGGGTTAGTTCTGGTCTTGGCAGAACCTGTGACAAAATCATATACGTTAGTCATAGCAGGAGTCACGGCCCCAGCTCTGTTCCTGACACCCTAAAGCCATCCCAAAAGCAGCACTGAAAGCAGGTACTTCCTTCCAATCTGAGCCACTCGTGGACTGTTCTTTCCCTTTCATCATTATGGGAAGCTGCTCTCCCCCAAAAAACCTCAGACAGGTGTCTTTTCCAGTGCACTTGGCAGGTCACCAAGTTCAGGCTATTTTGAACCAAATGGAATGGAAGGTTTTGTGAGGGAGAAGCCTGCCAAGCCCCACTCTTTTCCAGAGAGGGAATTTGGACAGATGTCACATCCTGCTGATCCCAGCTGTGGCAGCCTGGCTGGAGGAGCAAGAAAGACCCTCACAGATGATTCATAACCATCAAGTTAAATTTCATCCAAATTTCTGTCCATGCAAAGCCCTGGGTCCTCACTTTCTGCAGTCCCAAAGCAATGTCCCTGCTCTCTGAGTTGTCTTTCTCTGCGAGCTCCATGCTGTCAAAACTCCAGCCTGGCATGGGATCAGGTACTTGGCCAAATGGGAGTTTATCACACTTTAAACTTGTTTAAAAATATCTCTATTACACTTAGAAGCTAAAGGGTTGTTTAGGCCTACAATTAATTTGTAATTTTTCAGGTTCCAGAGAGATATTATTCATCATAGGTGAGGGGTTTTATACATGCATATATCTTTATTATCCATATATATAAATATATCAGGCAAAAATTTCCAAAGCAGACACTGAGAGGCAAAATACAAACTTTTATCTCCAACATGAAAGAAACAAAAACACCCTGTCACAAGAAAGTTCTATAAATAGCATTATACTGCTGACTTGATTTGTGTTCTCTCATTTTACTTCATATTTATTTTTTAAAAAACTGAAAACTTTAAGCTAAAACCATCTGGAAGAATCACCAACAGAAACTGAACTGGATTTATTTCTTAATATTGTTCTGGTGACTTTGCAGTTTCTTCTAACTGTTTTACCTCCCTGAATTTAGAGGGCAGGGCTAATTTTCCAGACTTCTGCTGTGGGATTCCAGCCTGAAGGAGAAGGGCCTTGGCTTCACTCTACCACAGGATTTTTTCAGCTTTTCTTTTCCTTTCTGAACTGCCATTAGAATTTTTGGAACCTAAATATCTTCCTGCGTTAAAGGGCCAGTAGATGACACGCATCTCCTTTACTTCCCTCTTAAATAAAAGCAGACTGCAATGTGTGCTGTGTGGGTTCAGAAAAACCTACCGCTCTCCAGAAAAGTGCTCAAACACATCTTTAGTTGTAAGTTGGCTGTTTGGGCTTAATGAATTAAACACTTATTCTGAGTCAGGACTTTCGTGCGCCGATACACTGAGAAAACATCTTAGATACTCTTGTCTTAGATATCCTCTCACCCAGGCAAAGATTATAGTGTTAAATGGCTCACACATCAGGCTCGTGCATTACAGAATCATTTAGATTGGAAAATATCTCCAAGATCATCAGCTCCAACCTCTGACCATCACTTTGTCAACCAGACCAGAGCACCGAGTGCCACATCCAGCTGTTCCTTGGACACCTCCAGGGGTGGTGATTCCACCACCTCCCTGGGCAGTTCCAATGTTTAACGGCAGTTCCTCACATTCCGGTGTTTAACAACCCTTTCCATGAAGAAATTCCTCCTGGTGTCCAGCCTCAACCTCCCCAGGCACAGACTGAGGCCTCTCGTCCTGTCCCGTGTTCCCTGGGAGAAGAGGCTGATTCCTACCTTACGGAGGTTATTATAGACATCATACAGACACTGTAGACATTATTATAGGCATTATACAGACATTATAGACTTTATTATAGGCGTTATGTAGACATTATTGCCGTGTGAATTCGCTTGCTCATACCACAGCAGCTTTCACCGGAGGTTGCTGCTGTGTGCATCCAACCTGCATTCGTGCCCCCCAAACACACCCAACCCTCTCCCAGCCGGGCTCAAGGGAGCTCCAAAGACCGCAGAGCCGTGGCCGCCCATTCCCTGTCTGTCTGCGTGTCCGCCTGTGCCTGGTTTTTCCCACACGGGATGGACGCGACCCTGTTTCCCACACGGGCTGGACGCGACCCGCACCCCACGGGGGCCACGCGGCACAGGCAGCAGCGGGAGCGAAGGGAGGGGAAAACCAAGGAGAAAAGGGAGGGAAGGGAGGGAAAGGAAAGGAGGGGAGGGAAAAGAAAGGAGGGGAGGGAGGGAAGGGGCGGGCCGGGGCGCCGCCCGTGCGCTCTTTTTGGCTCTCGGGCCGCGCCGTAGCGCTCCCGGGAGAGAGCGGCATTGTGCGGCCTCCGCGCCGCCCCGCGCAGGCGCCCTGCCCGCCTTCCCCGCCTGTGGCGGACCCGGACCCGCCGCCGCCGCCGCGTCCCCCCCTCTCCCCTCCCGCGGCCGCGCTCCTCCCTCCTCGCCGCGGAGGAGGCGGCGGCCGCCCCCCTCCTCCTCCTTCTCCTCCTCGTCCTCCTCCTCCCCTTCCCCATCCCCCCCGGTAAGTCACCGAGCAGGCGGCGGGCTCCTCTCCGGGCTCCTCTCCCGCCTCTCCATCTCCCGCGCCGCCCCGGGGGGGGGTTTCTCCCCTCACGGCCGCTGCCCGCGCGCGGCGCCGCCGCCTCCCCTCCCGTCCCCTCCCTTCCCCTCCGCTCCCCTTCCCGCCCGGCCCCCCTCACCTCCAGACCCCCCCCCGCCTTCCAGAATTTGGGATCCCCACACCCCCTTTTTCCAGAGCGAGGGCGGGCAGGGAAGGGGCGTTCGGGGGCCTGGGAGGAGAGGAGAGGCTGAGGGGTGTTATCGGTACCGCGTGCCTGGCGGCGGGGGATGCGCTGGGATGTGCTGGGAGCACCCCCCCCTTCCCCCGGGAATGGAGCCCCCCCTCCCCCGGGAATGGAGCTGCTTCCCAAAGGAATGGAGAGACCCTCGGGCATGGAGAAACCCCCCCGGGGATGGAGCCCTCCCCCCCTAGGGCCAGGCAATCGGTGTCCATGCACGCTCAGATTAGCTCCATGTGAAAAGGAGCAGATCCGTGTTAGGAAACTTTAATTTCTCGTCGTGGCTCCCCCCAGATTTGCCCGGGGAGGGTGTGGGGTCTTCCTCAGTGGGGATACTCTGGACGCAATCCTGTGCCATGTGCTCTGGGATGGCTCTGCTTAGGCAGGGAGGTGGGAGCGGATAACCCAACCTCGCCCATCCTGGGATTCTCTGGTCTCCCCTGCCCTGCCCAAGGCTGGGCACTGCCCGCAGGCAACTGGTAGCGCCCTGGTCTGCGCCCTCCCGGGAAGGAGATGCTTGGAATGCCAGTGGATCCTGAGAGCAAATGCTTTTGCTCCCAAATGTGCTGCCACCAGCAAAAAGAGAGTCAGCAGTGCTGGGATATTGTGAGCGCACTTGGAAGGCAAATCCTGACAGTGTGAGCTGGGGGTGATTCTGATCCTGAGCTGAAATGTAGCTGAGCTGCAGTGGAGATTTCTTTCCTCTGCAGCATCAGCCCTGATTACCAAATCCTGGCACTGCACTCCATCAGGTTTTGTTACAGAAAGCGGAGTCTGGAGGGACTGATCCAAGGCTGCTTCCAATCAGGGGGAAGTCTTGGGTGTAGAAGGGCATAGTTTGATGGTCAAACTGTTGAGGAGGGAAATATGAGACCAAAATATTTGCATTTTGAGGTGAAAGGAATCTAGCAGGGTCTTAAGCTTTGGAAGCGCTGGCTATTTTTTGTCTTCGTTGTGGTCTTGTATTCTCTACCTTAATAAAATAAAAAGGCCTTGGACTGTTCCTTCCATCTTCCATGCAGACTTTTGTATTCACTGTGTACTAAGTGCTTGTTAAAAGTGTTTTGGGTTATGTGTTATAGAAACCCTGCCACACCTCAAAGCTATTGTGTATTATTTCTATTTGGAGTGGGGCAGAGTGGGAAAAAGCTTTCCAAGAAGCAATCAAAGGACATGGCTTGGATTCTTGGCCTTGTGCATGAGTAGGTCTGAAGGCCTAAAATACTGCTGTGTTGCTCAACAGATAATAAACAGGGTTTTCACACTTGTTTCTGGCAACCTGCACTTAGACCAATCTCACTCTTCTGGCTGCTGAGTATCTTTTTGACAGCTAATGAGAATATTTTGTTTTCCTTCCAGGTTTTCCTTTCAGTGCGGTTCTCCTCTCCGTGGCAAGAGCTGCCTTTTGAAGCAGCACATTCATTCTCCCCTTCAAGCACCCATAAGTCTCATTTGCCAGCTCCAGAACCATGGCAACAGAAGAAAAGAAACCAGATGCAGAATCCACCAAAACACAATCTACTCCTTCCTCCTCCACCAATCAGAGCAAGGTGTGTGTGGGGCTCCAAACAATATCCCTGTAAATACACATGGAACTACCTGCATATTGAACAGCCAGGCCACAATTAAGGATTTGAATTCTCATGGAGATTAAGATCTCCATGTCTCTGCTCCTGCTGTTGTCCTGAGGATTTTATGGGAAAAGTGGATGGAGTGCAGGCTCTCCTGTAGTGCTCGGGGTCTTTCTGGTCCTAAGGAAGTTCTTGCTTCTTGTCACTCTGAGCATGACAAAGACAGGTTTTTTCTATCCTTGAAATGCCTGGAGATGACTGGAGAATCAGTGAATCTGTGATCATAGTTGCAGTGTGGGGAAACAGTTATTCAGGTTCTTTGAAGCCTGCAGATGCTCAAAGGAGATGATATTCTCTTACCATGAAGCCTTTGCAAAGGGTGGAAAGGGTAAAAGTGGGGTTTTAGGGGCATGGAGAAGTTGGCCTGTGATTTAATTCATGATAGAGGTGAAAACTGCAAACACTTAAAAGCGCTGCAAGGATCAATAACCAAGAGTGTTATTTTGAACTGCCAAGCACTTTGTGGTTGGACTGTTGGATTATTCTCACCTGTTTGTTATTGGCTTGGATGGAATTCATATCAAGGATGAGTTGGTGTTGTGCTTGAATCATTAAGGCCCTAGACAGAAAGGGAGCTTGTTTTGTTTCGTTGGTTTTTCGGAATTAGAAGGGAAGAGGAATGTAATGAGATGCTAAATTTGGAATTTAACTCATTCACATGCATTTTTCTTACAGCCTGCTCCAGTAAAACCAAACTATGCTCTGAAGTTCACATTAGCAGGACATACAAAGGCAGTGTCATCAGTCAAGTTTAGTCCTAATGGAGAGTGGCTTGCCAGCTCCTGTAAGTATTGTTTACTTTTTAACTCATCTCAAACATGCAAACATAAGCCTTGGAGAAGGGCCTGTCTTTAGTGTTGCCTCCATCAGGTAGAGAAGGGATGTAGTGCCTTGGTTTTTCTTAAAAGAGTGATACCAAAGCTGCCAGTCTTTGAAATAATCTGATTTGAGCTGTTTAAGCTCTGTTACTTTGAACACTGGATCTTCTCTGCATTGCCAGGTTGGAGAATCCCGTTCAGCTTGCTTTATTGAGCAAATGGGCAAAACCAAGCAGGGTTCTTTCCCTGGGCAAAGGAGACCCTAAAGACATGGCTTAAGCTTTTAAATTAAACTTTGTGTGCAGTATCTCCAGGCAAAGCTGAGCTCTGGGAAATAAGGAAGGTGCTGCTGGGCTGTAAGTGTGATATAGAGGACTGGCCATGTGCTTCTGTCCTGTGTGCCTGTGGTGGTTGGTAGTCAGAGCCTTTGGTTACCCCAGTGAAATGCAGAAGGTTGTTATAAATAGTGTTTCACTTCTTGCTCTCCTAAGTGATAGAACAAGTCCTCTTCCTGTCAGCTTTGGTATTTCATAATATTTTTTTTTTTGGTGTTCAGCATTTGACAGCTTTCCCATGAAAATGTGTTTAGATGACCCTCAGTGATCCAGAGAGGATCCATGTATAAGGAAAAGGGCAGTTGAAAAGGGCCACTGGAACATCTTCCAGGCATGGGAATGACTTGGGGCTTTGACTTAACTGCAAACAGCCTTGACAAGACCAGCGCAGTGTGCCATGTATAAATCATTCTTATGTTCTAGTGTCCTCATAAGAGTCCCCCTCTCTCCCTTGCCCAGGTTTTCCAACCTCTACATCTGGCAAATATCAACTTCTTTCTCCAGAGTATGTTTTGCAAGTTAGCATGGATAATATGTTTGGGTTTCTGCAGCCATTAATTCATTCCAGCTTGTGGTGTAATTTTAGTTCTTTTTGGGACAAAAGCCTTTCAGCATTCCCATGGACCAGCACTGTTTTACTAATGGCAATCCAAAACAAAAGTAAGAAACCCAAGTTGTCATGAGAGAAACTAAAGCTGCTGGAGACTCTCTGCATTCCAGGCAGCTTATGTAACTTCAGCTGCTGCAGCCTGGCCTGTAGGAAGCTGTTCTTTACCAATTCCATATCACCTTATTTATGGAGGTCTGCTCGGGGAGGGAGAACTGCCCAGTGTCTGCAGAGATGGAGTTACTGTATTTCCTCCCACCTAGAAGGGGCAGCTCTGCCTGTGGTGTTAATCTCTGAACTGCCACGTTGTTTTCCAGCTGCTGACAAACTCATTAAAATTTGGGGAGCGTATGATGGCAAGTTTGAGAAAACAATCTCTGGTCATAAACTGGTAAGTGGAAAGGGGTTGCTATATGAATTTACTTCTAAAGAATTTTGCTTTCTCCTCCTCCAGAAGTTTCTATTCCATGTTAGTTTGACTCGTGTAAAAGGCTTGTTCTTCAGTCTTGCTTTGTGGTTCTTTGTTTATACAGTCCTGGAATTGCTGGAGTAATGCTGGGTTGGGCTGGGAATATGGGTGAAGTGCAGGCTGATGATGGAGTACCTGCTTGCTCCCTGCCCAGGCAGCTCCTTTTGTCCCTGAATTTAAGCAGAACCCACCTCAGACACGGGGCAGGGCATTCTTGGGTGAAAATCCATGTAACACTGCGTCCTGTTCCATCTTTCCTTTGTGTATGGAACAAAATGACTTGCCTTTTAAGGAGACTGAATTTTTCTTGTGGGTTTGCCTACATAAACACAACACTTACTCATTCTGCGAAGTTCTAAAGAAAACACCAACTCCCAAACCCTCTGGTTTTGTTTCTTAAAGTTTCTCAAGCACTGAAGTTTTATGAGCAGAAATGAAGATTTACCAATAGAAAAACCACTAGAATCTTCTACCCCAGCCTTTGGGGACTCAGACCATAAAGAGCAGCCATTTGTCATGAAGAAAAGCCACTTACTCAGATTAATTTTTATAGCATTTTGTTTATGAATTCCAACAAAGGGTTTTGTGGCCACAGTAAGAACTGTGTGAACAAGTCATTGGTGTTTTCAGAGTATATGGCTCAGCTTAAAATGAACATGTGTTAAAGGAGCTCTTAACCCAGTGAAATCACTGAATTCCTGGCTCTCAGGGCTGAGTTTTCATTCAGGCTTCAGCTGTGAATGTAATATGCAGTCTGTGTTTGCCATTTTTTCTGTATCGCTGAACAAACAGAGCTGAGAAGAGAATTGTTTTCCTTTGTTTTAGGGAATCTCTGATGTTGCTTGGTCATCAGATTCCAACCTTCTTGTCTCTGCCTCCGATGATAAAACTCTCAAAATATGGGATGTAAGCTCGGTAAGAGCAGAAATTGTTATTTACCTTCATTTTCTCCAACGCTGGCTTCTTTACTCATGTTTTTCTGAG